TCCCGCGGCCGGAGGGGGATGACGTCACCCCGCGGGAGCCCGCGCCCTCCCGCCGCCAGGTGGCGCTGCGCCCCCGCCTCGGCCCGGGGCGACGCCTTGGCGCGCGTGGGCGGGAGAAGCGCTCGGCTTGCTCAGCCTCGTGGTCTCCTCTGCAGGTTGGTGGGAAGCGCGGCCTCGGGCGGCGGCGGCGGCGGCCTCGGGCGCTGAGCTGGGCCCTGCGCGTCCCGTCCGCCGGGTGCACGGCGCCCGAGCTGCGCTGTCGTCGGCGCGCGGGGCGACCCTCGCTGCCCGCCAGGCTCTCTGGGCGGAGCCTCAGCTGCAACGTGGACGTGGGGCGCCCACTCGGGGCTGCAGGGCGGCCGGCGGACTGAAGCCCCAGCCAAGGCGGGCGGCGCGGACGGGCAGGCGGGGGCCGCCGCCCCGGAGGCCCCTGTGCTGGGACAGCGCGGGGCTGCGCGCGCCCCGGGATCTGACTCTGCTCCCGCCGCTCGCCCGCCCTCTGTTTGGGGCCGGATGTAACACAACCACCCTGCTTCCTAGCAGGGGCCCCGCCTGGACCCCAAAGATGGTGACACTGCTGTGCCCCTGCAAGTGGCCCAGACCCAAGGCGGCAGTGCCGCAGTGCTGGGGGGTGGGGGTGGGGGTGCCAGCACCCTTAAGCCATCAAACCAGAAGGATGCCTGCGATGTACCCCAGTGGGGCTGTGGGGGCTCCCTCTGGTCAGGAGGGCAGCCAGGGCAGGGAGTGGGCTCCGTGAGTAGGGTCTGGGGGGGCGCTGCTCCCCAAGTGGTCACGTCATTTCTCTGCCCACTTCCTGGGCCTGTGGCCGCTGTTGGGAGCTGGCCACCAGCCTACAGTCAGGGAGTCCTGGAGTGAGCACCCCTGAGCGTGGTGGTATCAAACCAGCCCGGTCCTGGGCCCCACTCGCCGTCACCCCTGAGGGCAGCCCCACGGGGCAGGACCGGTCTCCTGAGCCTTGACGGCCAGCTCAGTGGGTAAGGTGTCCCCACACGGTTCTTTCTGCAGAGGTGAACTTGTCTAATGGCCAGCTCGGGGGCCATGGCTGGGAGCCCGGGTGGGCCTCCGGGCGCTCGGCACAGTACAGAGGCGGGCACACCGCACAGCTAAAGGCTTGTATATATTATCAAAATCTATGGGAGACAGACGCAGCCGTTCACACAGCAGCAGGCGGCTGTGGGGGAAATGTCACTTTGGCATCAAAGCTCCCGGCCAGGCTGCTGTGTGTGGCTCTCTGGAACCCACGCCCGCCAGCCCCGTGCACCTGCGCCCTGGCCCAGGAGGGATTGGGGGGCATCCTCAGCCCCGCCTTCCTCGTCCCCTGGCCCTCACGCCTCTGTTTTCTGCCGCTGCCCTGCACGGGGGCCACCAGCCGCTGCTTTGCCCAAGGGCTCCTCAGAGGCCTGAATCCTGGCCCTGGAGGGCAGTGGGCTGGGCTGGCGGCGTCCCTGCGGCACCTCTCTCCTGGCGCACGGGCCTGTGCAGCTTGCCAGCCACAGGCATGCCATCTTCTCGGTGACGGGCTACGAGGACTCTCCTTGTCCAGGAACTTCAGCTCCAGGTAGAGAAGAAAAGCCTGGAGAGCCTCAGCGATAAGAAAAGGGGAGCAGGAAGAGAGCCCTGAAGTGTGGGCTAGGCCTCCAGCGGTCCCCCGGCACGGCAGGGACGTCGCAGCGGGCAGCAGCGGTGGTGCGGGGGTCTGTGCGGCCCTGGGAGGCGAGGCCGGGGCGGTGGCGGCCGCGGAGGTGGCGCCCGTTCCTACTGCAGCAGCTTGGGTACCTCCACCTGTGGGGCAAAGCGCAGACCGTTTAGTGGAGGGAGCGCCTGGCACCGCCCTCTTCCGGGGGGCAGACACCTCAGCCCTCGTCTGGGGCATGAATAAACGGGGTGCTGACACAGGCGGCCGTTTCCCTTTTCTGTGAAAGCTGGCTGCCATCCGTGACCACTGTGATTACGGTCGGGCTTGTCCTTTGTCTCCTGGTGTCTAGCCCCAGCTGGCCACGGAGGCCGTCACCCAGGGCGGGGGGGGTGGGGTGGACAGGGCTTTGAGGAGCAGGGCCTGGAGGGCTGTGTCCAGGGCACTGCACGTCTGTCATGGGGAGGCTCCCAGACACTTTGTGGATAGGTGGTCGGACGGGGCTGCTGCCCAGGGAACAAGTCAGTCTGGGGCGGGAAGGGGTGGGTCCTGGGGGAGAGGCAGGTTTGGCTGCAGGTGGAGAAGGTGAGGCTGCTGCGAGAGGCAAAAAGCAGCTCCTGGAAGGGAGGACAGCCGCCCTCCGAGGGCCACAGGTGTGGCCAGTCTGGAGGCAGGAGGACGGGCCCGAAGGCCCTGGGCGTGTATCCTGCCCGCAGCCCGAGCCGGCTCGTGGCCGGCCAGCCCACCCCGCTGCCCGCCTCCCCCACCTACTTAACTTCTTGAGCTGCTTGAGGTTGCTGGAGCGGATGGCAGCCAGCAGCTGGTCGCGCGAGTTCTTCTCCTGGGCGGGGAGGACTTTGTCCCCCATCTTCCTCTGGGTGGCTGGCGACAGTGAGTTCCTCAGGCTCTCCATGATGAGCGGTGGGGCCAGGGGAGGCGGGGGCGGGGGGGGAGCGGCCGGAGCCCCCCCTTTCTTGGGCGAGTTCTTGGGGGAGGCCTTTGGCGATGGCTGCGGGGAGGGTTTGGGGGAGCCTTTGGCCGGGGCCCCGACCTTGGGCACCCCCAGCAGGGCCGCCTTCTCGCCGCCGGCCTGCGCCTGCCGCTGCTCCTGCAGCCGCCTCTGCCGCTGCCTGTCCATGTTGCGGCTGAGCAGGCCGGTGACGGCCATGCGGGGCCCGGCCAGCTCGAAGTGGTAGCCCAGCTTGAGCAGCGTGCCGTTCTCCCGCAGCAGCTGCGCCATCTCCATCTCGGTCTTGCCGCCGCAGATGTGCCGCTGGTTGTGAAAGCGCAGCTCGGTCAGCGTGCTGTTCTGCAGCAGGGCCCGGAAGATGGCCAGGATGCCCCTGCCCGTGATGTGGTTGGAGTCCAGGTTGAGGCTGGTGATGGTGCGGTTGGCCTTGAGCATGATGGCGATGGCGAAGGCCACGTGGTCGTCGGCGCGCGTGTTGGCCAGCGCGAACACCTTCACCACCGTGTTGAACTCCAGCGCCTCGGCGAAGCGCACCAGCACCTCGGTGGTGATGCAGTCGGAGTTGTTGACGTTCACCTCCGTCATCCCGGGGTCGTTGTTCCGCACCCTCTCCAGGGCCTCGTCGAAGACGCCGGGCGCCGCCTCCTCCTGGGCCGGGCCCCCCTCTGCGGC